AACAGTTTGGCAAAGTTATACGACCCAGTAATTCCGTCAGTAAGTATATAGAAAAGAGAAATAAAGACATGCCCATGCAAAAATATGTGCACGAATGTGTGTAATGGTCAAAAAGTGGAAACAATCCAAATGTTCATCAGATGATGAATTGATAAAGAAAATGTTTCACTAGCCGCAATTGACAAAAGGTGGAAACAACTCAAGCGTCCACCAGCTGATAAAGGATAAACAAAACATGATTCATTCACACAGTAGAATATTCCCCAGCCATAAAAAGGATCGAAACATCGACATATGCTATTGCATGGATGGAACTTGAAAACATTATGCTGAGTGGAAGAAGCCAGACACAAAAGGCCACATACTGCGTGGTCCCATTTATGTAAATGGACTAGGCCGATCCATAGACACAGAACACAGATGAGTCGTTGCCTGGGACTAGGGAAAGGGGAATGGAGAATGCCTGCTTAGGGGTGTGGGGTTTCTTTTCAGAGTGACCAAAGTGCTCTGAATTAGTGGTGATGATGTAACAATGTTGGGGATGTACTAAAACCTATGAATTATATGCTTTAAAAGGGTGAATTTTATGGTATGTGAATTATATCTCAAAAAAAAGAAAAAGTCCAGTAGTGTAAGATAAAAACAGAGGGCCGAAATATATTTCACTGAAAATAAAACAGGTAAATTTTGTGATGTATTCTGCCCCTGGTGCAAAAGCTGGTAGGTTAATTCATGATTTTACCTTAGTTTGTCAGAGTGTAAAATTTTGAAACTACTTCTGCCTGAGTTTTGCATACCTCTAACCCTTCTGTAGCTGACTGAGCCAAAGGCATCTTTGATCTAAAGAATGATACTTCAAGAATCAGACTTTGTGGCTTCTTGTCTTGCCACTCCAGTGCCCAGTCCTATGACCACTGACAAACCACACCTCATGGCAAGACTCATTTCTCCTTTTGTGAAAGGGACTGCTTGCCCCATCTCTAGCCCTCTGGAGGAATGCCAAGAGCTAGTAAACAAAATAACTGCATGGCATTCACAATTACGAATGCTTTAGAAATATAGGTTCATGGTAGGAACCCTTCCTTCCTATAATTGATTTCAATGGGATAAGCACACCTAATCCCTAATGTCTTTCTGTGTTCAGAACATCATTAGTGAGAAGTTAACGTGGATTTAAATATTTTTCCATAGTAAATGGGCATAGACAGCACTAATAACTTTTTTTTTGAATTGCGTGAACAAAAATTCTGGCTGAGTATTATGCAGATGAAATCAGACATGCAACAGTGGACAGTTCCTTCAGAGAAGAAATACATTTATTGGCAAGAATTGATGTATTTTTCACAATTGATTCTAATATGTCAACCGAGGAGGCTAATATATTGCTGTTGACATTTAATGACATACAAGTCAGTAATACATGAGACTTTATAAATAATGAGACTTTCACTGCTATGCTTCCAGATTGAGACACATCCTCATTCTCTCTCTTCCCGGGCTGTTCCAGCCCTGATGTCCCCAGAAGTGATACTGTGTGTGTGTGTGTGTGTGTGTGTGTGTGTACATCGGAGATACTTTATTCCATCTATTCATCTTTATCTTTGCTTCTTAGTGCTAGATGCAAGCTCTTTGGGCAGCATCAGCTGTGCCTGTTCCAGCTTTGATGCCCCAGCGTTCTAGATTGTGCTCGGCACCTAGTAGACATTTAGCAAATGCAAAAACGAGTGAATTAACAAATGCACATTGCTGGTAAATTTCCACAAAAGCACAAGTTAGCATCAAGCAGGAGGAGGCTCCGGAACTGGTTCCTCAACCGCCATCGCGGTAGCACAGGTTGGAAGTCCCGAGGGAAATGCTACCACCAGCCTCACTCAGAGACCTGCAGCGATATGCTTGACCACGGGAACATATGAGAAGCGGAGGTTCTTAGTGTGAGAGGGTTTAAGCAAGTTAATGGCTCCGTCCTCTCTCGGTCCCCACCAGCCCCTTGTTTTTCTCCCTTCCTCGCTATTTAAATTCGTAGCACCTTCCCCACCCCTTACTCCTCTTGCCCGCTTTATTTTTCTCCATAGCGATTATCGCCAGATAGTCTATTTCTTTGTTTATTGCCTGTCTCCTCTCCTGTCCTGCCAGAATCGAAACTCTGATTTTGTATAGTGTTTTTTTTCTTAGTATTTTTTTAAAATTTTTAAATTACAATTGATGTATTATATGAGTTTCAGGCGTACCACATAGTGGTTAGACATTTTATAACTTACAAAATGACCCCCCCCCCTGCAGTAAGTCTTGTACCCACCTGGCACCACACATAGTTATTACAATTTTATTGACTTTATTCCCTAGGCTCTACTTATATCCCTGTGACTATCTTTCTTTTTCTCTATTTTTCAGTACTAAGAATAGTTCCTGGAAATAGTAGCTGCTCAATAAATATTATGGAAGGAAGGCAGGGAGAGAGGACGGGGAGAAGGGAGGAGAGAGCAGGGATGGAAGAAAGAAGATTGGAAAGAAAAAAAGGGAAGATCGATCTAAAAACTTTCTAAAAGACTTGCAAGCTGAAAGTTTTAGAACCTTTAATATATTCAGGGAAACTTCTGGTTCACATATTTCTTATGTTTGGCTCACAGATATTTTGAAAATTAAAAAACCTATAAATTTCCCATAAACTATTAGACTATGATCTTCTCCCAAACAATCAGGTCTGGTAGCACCTGATTCCCTACCGCATCAGCCATCTCGACCTGAATGGCAGACGTGGGCTAGAGTGACTTAATATGCCAGAGAATTTAAAGCAGGGATGGAAGTTGGGATCCTTCTGGATTTCCTGAGTGGCTTTGAGAATCTCATTGTGGATGTGTAACCAGGAAGTCCTCAGAATAACTTCGATTCCTATGGAAACCTATATATTCCCAAGGGGGTTCCAAGGAGAAGATAGTGATAACCTTGGTTCATTCAGTCCAGAAACCCCTGAGCCTTAACTGAGAGAGGGAGGTGCACCTAGAAAATCCCTCTGCCGTTCTGCTGCCCCTAGAACTTTCCCTAGAGGGCCCTGAACCCTGCAGCTCTCTAGGGAGGGTCTCGGGCGTAGGTATGTTAGGACACGTTTGCCCACTAAAGGGACAGAATCACAAAGCCTATTTAGCTCTAAAATATGCTTATCCTATGATTGCATCACCCCTGCACATCTGTTCATTCATTCATAAAGGCTTTGTAAGCACCGACTAAGTGCCAGCCCTGTGTGTTCAGAGCTGAGGAAATCAACACATTGGTCCTTGTCCTCACAGACCTCACAGAGGTAAGTAGTAAAGTAAGTGTTAGAATACTGGAAACAGAAGAAGGTATCAAAACACACGGCAGAGGCTCAAAAACTGCAGATTTGAAGTTCAACATGTAGAAAATATGCAGATATTCAAAGCTTTTTCCTGAACTACTTGATGGTAAATTTTGGGGAAAATCAAGTGTTTAACTTATTCTTATAACGCAGATATATGAACTTCCTTTAGAGTCCTTAATTTGCTTTGCAATTCTTAGATGTAACTGTCTCAAAGCCACCTGGCCTCCTCCCTCTGTACACACAGACACATCAGATTTCGATGTGGGTGGCTGAGCCTGCACTTTTACATAAACCCAGTCCAGGTGAAGGCTTGCTGCAACCCACTTCAACTATGGATGTGTACACCAGTAAATCCATCAATTCAAATTATTGCTTTTTCCATAAATTATGTTGTTATTTTAGAGTGTATAGAGTAGTATGTATTCTTACTGTGGTAAAATATAAAATTGACCATTTTAGTCATTTTGCAGTGTACAGTCCAGTGGCATTCAGTACATTCACAATGTCATGCAGCCATCGCCACCATCGTCTCCAGAGCCTTGTCATCATTCCAAACTGAAACCGTACCCACTAAACAATACTCCCCATTCGCTCCTTCCACAGCCCCTGGCGACCACGGATCTGGTTTGTTCCTCTATGGATTGGACTACTCTAGGTACTGAATATAAGCGGAATCATACAACGTGTGTTCTTTTGTGAGTGGTTTATTTCATGTAGCATAATACCTTCAGGTCTCACCTACATCATAGCATGTATCGGAATTTCATTCCTTTTTAAGGCTGAATAATATTCAGTTGTATGCATACACCACATTTTGTTTATCCATTCATCAGCCGATGGACATTGAGTTGTTTTCGCCTTTTGCCTATTGCGAATAATGCCGCTATAGACATAGATATATAAATATGATTGCCATGTTTATGGATGCTTTTAACTTTGCAGAGTGCTTTTATGTCTTTAATGCATAAACCTTATGGGACATAGAGTAGGTAGTATTTTCTTCTAGCAGATAAGAAATCCAAATTATTAAAAACTTAAGTCACTCATTAAGATAGGGACAATTTCTGACTCTTAGCTGCAGTATCTTTTCCTCAAATGCTTTTTATTCTTCACTCTGATGATTCTTCACTAGCTGAAGGTACTAAGATGCAAAAGTAAAAATATCCTTGCTGAGATGCAATTGGAAGGCAGGCGGAAAGTTTTCTTTTACTGGGACATGCTAAATGAAACCAGTAGGCCCATAATTTGGGGGGAAATCCATTTTTAAAATTTATCTTTCAGGCTCAAATGCGGCTGTTTTTTCTCCACCAAGATGACGTTCTGGGCTAGTTAACGAAGACTTAACGCCCCCGCCCCACCGCCAACCACACCATTGCTGGCAAGATTCAAACTTTGCATATACTATAAGCTGGGAAACTATGTCTATGACCCAAAGAGAATATTTAAATCTTGATTACTCACAGGCTCAAATCATACCTGATATGGATTCACATTCTGTTCTTGGATAACCATCTTTATTACATTCCAGAGATGCCAGTGCGTGTTTGAACAGAGTGTTTGAGACGCTGAGAGGTCCTCTGAGGACCTTGGAGGGAGGCGGTGGAGGCGAGGTATGCAGGCACGGCAGGGTCAGAGGCTGGGGGCAGATGAAGCCCCGCCTGGCCAGGCTGCCTCCAATTTCTACTCATGCAGTTTTCCTTCGCCGAATTCATGTTTCTTTATGTCAATAGCATTAAGCCAGACTTTGTTTTTTGGGGGGGGCGTTTTAAATAGCACTATTATCTGTGCTACTTCTCGTAGTTTCTTATGGTTTAAAAAAATATTCTGACAGTTAAAACGGCTCTGATTATTAAAATTTCTCCAGTTGTTGAAATCTCTGTAATCGTAATAGTTCCACGTCAGTGGGAAAGGTCCTGAGTCTCACAGTTTGGCCGGCTGTGTGCGTTCGGCCGTCATTTGCTGGTCTGACCACATCTAGACCTGGCTGCCGGGCAGCTGTGGTCTTGATGGGAACGCTCGTTCCCCTCACTGTGCCCATGAAGTGGGACAGCTCCATAGATGCCGTCAGTACCTCGATGATGTTGCTTTCCTGGTCGGGTTGCCAAATTTAGCAAATAAAAATGCACCCAGTTGAAGCTGAATTTCAGATAAACAACGAATAACTTTTTATAAGCACGTCTATCCCGTGCAATATTTGGGACATACTTATAGTTAAAAATGATTCGTTATTTATCTGAAATTCAAATTTAACTGGGTGTCTTGTGATTCAGGGTGATTCTATTTCTTGGATTCCTGCCAGGAAGGCTACTCTAAGCGTAGGAGTGCCTAGTGTCATTAATAAAGACAGAATCAACTACTCTTGCACCCTGGAAAGTAGGATTGTGAGGCCAGTTAGGGGGAGAGGAAGTAAGAAAGGCTGAGGCAAGCGCTGACACAGACTGAACTTTGTTATTCCTGAAGATTTGGGGTGAGTAGGGACTCTACCAGGGGGTGTATGTATGTAGGAGAGGATGAAGGAAGAGGAGATGGGGAGGGAATTGGGAATGTGAGCTCCCAGGAGGACAAATAAAATCCAATTATATTCTAATATACATATAGACTCACAAATATATTAAATTTATTTCTTACCCAACCCCAAAACTATTTACCAGAGATTCCCAGTTTAGAGTTATCACACTTTTATTAATTTGATTATGTATAAATAATTATTCGTATAAAACGAAGTTAAAATGCTCTTTGTTTCGAAAATTTTGCAATTAAAAGACTCTTGCCAACAGACATGTTGGCAACCGTTAGGAAAACGTTTAATACTCTTTTCGTAAATGAACGTGAGCAGAGGAGCTTGGAGGTGCAGTTAATGTACTGCTGGTCAGAGGAACAGGATGCCCTGATCTGCTCTGTGGCCCTTGGCAAGTCGAGTACTTCCACGCTTCCTCCCCAGTTTTCTAAGCTGAGAAGTCAAGTGCTTGTTACGTACTTCAGTGTGGCCGGGGAAGGGGTTAGTCTGTGTCGAGGATATAAAAGAAGAGGATGGAATGCCTGTTTTTAAGGGCTTTCCAGTCTAGTTCTGTTGAGAAGCACCTCCCTCTTCTTACCAGACATGGCCCCTAGGCTTTTAGTTACTTTCTGGGGAGACGACGAATCAAAGTCTGTGGAAGTAGAGGGATCACCATGCTGAATTCCTCCCTTACAGTTGCCTCAGAAGAGATCACAGAGGGTTACAAATAATTTTTACAGCTCATACCCATTCATTTGAAAGCTGCCACAATCCCACCCATTACCCAAACAGGTAAGGAGACATAAAATTTTTCTGAGAGGAAATATAAAAAGCTAATAAATGTCCAAAAAAATGGTTTCAGTAGTAATAAACAATAATAATACAAGTAAAAATGAGGCACCGTTTTCTCCATAAAAAAAGGTAAGGTGTTTATTCCCATTCACTACTGATAGTAGTTTAAATTAAAGCTACTCTTGTAGAAAATAATTTTATAATATCAAACAATGTCGCTGTCATGATAGAAATCTTATAACTACTCTTAGTAAATGGTCCACGATACTTTAGAGACAGAAAAATTGATAGCAACATTTTAATAAATAGAAATGCTGTTAGTAAACTAAACATTTAGCTGTTCGGGCATGGCTTATTATAATTTATATGTGCAGAAGATGAAATATTATGCATTGAATGTTTGCTATAAATTTTTTATTACAAATTCTAAAAACATGTGGAAATACCTGTGTTATATATTTAATTAACAAAGAATAATACAAATTATATGTAGTTTGGGATCTATTATTTTAAAATAGTAGGAAAATAACTGCAAAGAAATATACAGAATGTTAACTGGTTATCTATAGGGAAGCATGATTATAGGTGATTTTTTTCCTTCTGTTTTTACCCTTTTCTGTATTGCCCAAGTGTTCTATAGCAATGATAAAAAATATATATAAGTGTTAAGTGAATACCCAGATCAGAGCTCTAAGAATTGAGACTGCGAAAATACTGTTTACTAATTTATTCTTCACTTTTACTATTGGGGTAAATCTCTTAATTTATTAAAGCGTGAATTTTCTCACCCATAAAGTGGAAACAATATTAAATAGCATTAAACTTCCTCCCAAATTTGTTATGAAAGTCGTTAGAAATGATGAATATGAAAAATGTTTGTAAATATAAAATACCAAAAAAAAAAAAATCTAAAAGACGAATTGGGATTGATCTTAATACATATTTCTGTGTGGCGACTATCAGGTGTGAGGGTACAGCCTGTGGCCATGCATCGTCAAGAAACTGAGGAGCAAGCCCATAGCCCACCTGGAGGCTATTCCAGGCCTTTCCTTGCAGAAGTTACTGTCCACAGTGTGGGAGAGCTCGGGAGGGAGTAGTCTCCAGGCATGGGAGGAGTCAAGCAGGGTTGGCAATGTGGACCAGACCATGAGGTGACCTTGACAGTCAGGCAGAAAGCTTTGCAAATTCGATCTTGACTGATTACGATAGAGCCATGTTAGGTGTTGTTTTGGATTTACTTTGGGCCTGGGTGTCACAAAAAGCAGCTGGTTTGGACATGATTAGCCTCAGGGTGGCCAGTTTGCTGGAAGGACTTAAAGGTCAGGAGAATGAAGGGAAGAGTCAAGATAGGTCAGGGTTTCGGCAGTTCCCGGAGAGGAGATGATGCGTCTGGACCAGACCTTGGTGGAAGGAAGAGAGTGAATGTCAGGTTTCTCAAGGAGAGAACTCTGTGATATCTGGAACCCAGAGGATGAAGGAGAAGGAAGACTCATAATAACCATGTCACAGATGTCTCCTCTGGGAGACTGGAGATGGGCTGCATTCCTTAGCCGTCCTTCCTGAGAGACTGAATATACAAGCCGACAACGGCCAGACCATACGTGACAATAAAGCTCTGACACACAGTCTCTGCAGCAACCAGCCTGAGAAGCCAAAACACAACCTCTGCAGCAATAGGCCAGGGATAGTTGGGGCTTGGCCAGTGACGGTCAGCTTCCCTATTTTTAACCCCTGCTTCCAGCTCAGGACTAATTAACCAAAAATGCACCCCTAACCAGTCATATAGGATGCTCCAATTGTAGCTAGCCCTCCTCCAGCTTCCCCGTGGTGCAACCTCCCATCAGATCACACCTCAACCACCCCTTCCTTCTACTCTACAGCTTTCCCACTCCTCTGCCCGCTTTTGAGTCTCTGCCAAATGCATGGGATGGTGGCTGACTCCCTTGCTATAGTATACCGAATATATGGCCTCCATTCGTTCATTTACTTATACTCTTCCATATCAGCCTTGAGCTCGACCACTCTTCCCAATAGTAATATCTAGGGAGATAATTTGGTGTATTTGAGAGAAGGCACCATCTGTGTCCTGGTCTTCAACGAGATCTACCCTGTTACAGTGTGAAGAGGAAGTTCAACAGGGGCTTAACTATCTACAGATATATGTCCCTGTCTGTAATTTTGAAAGCCAGAAGGAGAGAGAGGGAGGAAGGAGACCAGGGCTGATGAGAGAAACTGGCTCTCTCAGATACGATCCAGTTTAAAGCTTCTCCAATAGAGCAATGTGTGAGGCCTGAGCATCCGAACTCCTCTGAATGAGATTAGCTTCAGTATTACTTACCTAAAGCTGATGCTGCAGCACCTGCTTCTCCCCCCGGCGTGAGCTGTGATAAAGTCTGACCTCATCATAAGAAGAGTGTCTAGCGACTTCCATCAGGAAGGGAGGTGTCCAAGCATTGCCTGTACTAAAGGGAGGGATGGGATTGGAGCATACAAACAGGAGTGAGGACCAATTTCTGTTCTGCCCTGTCCTCCCAGAGATAAAACACAGAAATGCCTTTGACGTAAACGATTAGAAGTCTTTTCCAATCCACACTCAGGATTTGAGAGGAAGAACTTCTGGGTGCCGAAGAGACACAGATCTCTCAACTTTACATCTCCATTCCACTGTCTTTTCTACCTTCCTCGTCTTGGCCAAAAAGATAAAGTGAGACAGTGTGAGAAATTATTTATAGACTATCTTATGAATGTCACCATGATGGGAATAAAAGAGGGCCGGAGGAGGCAGAGTTCCTGTTATCAGGCCAACATTTCAGGACTGGGAACCAATCAGTGAAGAGCCCCTGATCTAAGGCCACAATAAGAAAAACAACATTCAGGTACTTAATCTTGTTATGGTCAAGAATTAATGGCCACTTTTGCATTTCAAAGTAGATAGCAACATTTAAATGATCTCTTTTGACCAGCAGCTACAGGAAAACAGTATTTTATTCTACCTACTCCCTTGTGCTGCCACTTCCTCTGTACTGACTAATTTTGATGGAAAGATAATACTTAAGAGTGTCGTTTCAGACAATGGAGTAATTACTACCTAGGATTTTTTTTTTTTCTCTTAGAGAAGAAAGAGCTTAACTTTAGCTTTCCTACTTTTCTTCGAATAATGAGGCTAAGTAATGTTGTGTAAGGAACTGGAAGCTCGCTGGCTTCCAGAAGCAGCTGCTGAGAAAGGACTGATCAGAAATGAGAGAAGAGGAAACCATTAGGCCAAAAATAAAATTAATTCCAAGCTTTGACTCTCTCCAGGGTTCTCTTGGGTGTCGTAACTTATGGTTTATGAGAGTCCCAAGGGGGAAGGTCATAAGTCAGTGTCACTAGACTGGCTCAGTGCACGATGTGGGCTAAACATGTCAGTAGACTGCCCTTGACCACAGAGACCTGGAATAAACCACAGCTTGAAATTACCTGACTTGCCCCCGAAAGAAGAGAAGCGGCTGCTAAAACCAGAACAGGCCTTGTGGTTGGGTCTACAAATTCCTTTGACCTCAGACTTTTGGCCGAATTTCTGGGAATGGTATGCCACAGTTTCCTAATCTCTAAACAAAGGAAATCCTTCCTAATCTCTAATCGGAGAAAACTTTCTACATCACCTCCATGGATCTCAGGAGAAACAGCCAATGTTTCTCCGAATGTACTTTGCACTGCTGTTTTAATGTCACTGATGTAGGGATTAGGACTTATGTGGAATCACAGCATTCATGGGCTGGCCATGAGCCTAGCCGTCATTTTAGTCTAGGAGTTACTACACGCGTTCGAAAGAAGCCACCTCGGCAATATTAATAAAGCACCGCAGGGTAGAGCAGGGTCTCTGTATCCAGGTTGCTTGGATTTGAATCTCGATTCCATCCATCACTTCATCTCTCTGCCTCAGTGTCTTCATGTGCAAAATAGGGATAATTAAAGTGTCCGTCTCATAGGGTGTCGTGAAGAGTCAGTCAGGTAATATAAAGTGCTTAGAGTAGCTGACAAACTAAGTGCTATGTAACGATTGCTCATATTGTCGAAGAATTTCACAAAGTGCTACATAATACTAATCATACGGTTTAAAATTTTTATCAACCACAAAAGAACCTATGCATATTTGAAAAGTGGTAAGTCATATGTATGAGAAGCATCATTTATTTCGTGCACACACTGTTTAGCGTGCGTATTTGGACGAGTTCCGATTACTAGGAGTAAATTCTCCTCCACAGTTTGTCCCAGAGTTTGGAAACTGAAATTCATCCATCCATCATTCACCCATTCAGCATCTACTGCACACCTACTGTGTGTCAGACACGCTGCTCTAGGTGTTGCAAATACAGCAGTGAACAAAACAGTCAAAAATCTCAGCCCTCGTGGAGGTCGCATTCTACATTACGAGTAACCCCTGAGTCTGCCTTTTTTTAATACAAAGAAACTGAGGTTCAGAGACTCCTCAGCTGATTGCTCAGAGTCACACAGCTAGTTCTAGATGCCAAGATCCCCAGTCACATCAGACTTTTACAAATCTTGTTTATGATGCAGGTCTAAAAATATCCAGAAGATTTGTTCGCCTGTCAAACTAGCTAAAACAGAAACAGTGCATAAATTCACCAGCTATCCCACATCTGACTAAATTATGTGTCTTCCCAACCTATTGGGGACACCACAAGTCCCCCTCTTTCCTCTCGTCCCATTGAGCACACGATGCCATTTCTTTTATCTCCATTTAGAAAACTTATCAAAGCCAGAGCGATGAGTGAGGACACCAGAGATGATAAAGAAGGATTTTCACTATGGAAGCGTTATTAAAGGAGAAACAGCTTCATCCTGAGGCTATCAAGCTTCATACTCCATAGTCGGTATGCTTCTGTAACTAGTGGGATAAAATGCTTATGTGATTTTTATTTATTTTTTTAAGACTTTCCAGGCGGTATCCTAAGGTATTCAGAACTATCTCTGTTGCTCTCTCAGAACTTACATACTTAATTTAATTTAAATTTATTTTTATGTTCTCATTCATATAGACTTGTAGAGGAAAGTAGGTAAATAGGCGGTTAAGCACGTAGTTTAGGGGGTATTTTTATGAGTGTGCCATTGCATTTCTTCCTTTCTAAGACACCATCCTCTGAGATGAACCATTAGATTACGAAGAAAGAAAAACAATACTGTCAATTAAACAGGGGGAAACAAGTGGAGTGTGAAAACCAAGTCCTGGGCCCTTTATCAGAGGTGCACGCTGAAATATTTATAGGTGACATGATGATGCCTTGGATTCACATCACGGGGGACCACTGCGGGAGAGCACATGAAACGAGATTGGCCGTGATTGGGAAAATTGTTCAAGCTGGATTGCAAGGTCTACCGGGGCTTAGCATACTATTCTCTTAGAATTTCAGGAGAAAAAGAATTTCTGTCTGTAAAGTAATGACAGAGCCGCTCAGGAATAGGGCTGGGTTTCCTGCTGTTCAGAAGGTTAGTTCTGTGCTCGCGGTGGTAGGTTCCAGATGGAGACCGAGGGAGACTTATCCCGGTGCGCAAGGAGCTGAGTGGAAGGTTTGTTCACTGTTAGTCCTTCGTCTTCCCTCAGAGAAACATTTTTTTTGTTGAAGCTGCCTCTGTCCTCCCTTTTATTACGGTGACTGCAATTGCTCCTGGCCTCGAAGGCCACTGTGCTACTTTACATCAGTGTTTGCTCAGCCTCGGAGAATACAGCATTGGTATAGAGGATAATGAGAAGCAATGAGGATTTAAAACGTTATTGAATGTTCCAGTCACCATGCGTGGATCGCCACGCACGATTTTATTTAACTCTCACACCAGCCCTAACAGGTTAATACTGATATGATCTCTATTTTTACCTGTGAGGAAACAGACTGAGAAGACTTCAGGGCATTTCCCAAAGCCGCAGGTAGTAGGGCCTGGGCCTAAACCCAAGCCTGAGCTCCGAACCGCTCGATGTGTTGCCTTCTTTCCAGTGACACAGAATAGAGCCCAGTGGACATCACGGCCTGCTGAGAATCGCTTGCAGACTAGGACTAAAGACTCAGCGTCCAACCGGTAGTCAGCAGATGCAGATGTCTGAAAGGAGCACAGACATAGGAAGCGGGGGACCCTGCGGAAACAAATCAGAAGGAACGCGGAAGCCCCTGCTAACTGGACGGGCAGTCCCAGCGGCTGGACAGGCCGAAGACGCCGGCTCACAATGCTTTCCATTCTCTTCTCTTTTTTATTATTCTCACCCCATCAACTTCTCTAGGTTTCTGTTTTATTTCATTCATTTATTTATTTTTTTAAGATTCTACATATAAGTGAAATCATACTGATTTTGTCTTTCTTTGACTTATTTCACTTAGCATAATAGCTTCTAGGTCTATCCACATTGGCACAAATGGCATGATTTCATTCTATTTTATTGCCGAGTAATATTAGATATATATGTGTGTGCGTATATACACACCACGTCTTCTTTATTCATTCATCTATTAATGGACACATAGATGGTTTCTATATCTTTTTTATTACTAGTAATGCTGCAGTGAACAAGGGGTGCATATATCTTTTTGACTTAGTGTTTTTGTTTTATTTGGATAAATACCCAGAAGTGGAATTGCTGGGTCATATGGTTTTTTGAGGAATCTCTGTAGTGTTTTCCATAGTGGCTAAACTAATCTATAATTCCACAAACAGTGCACGAGGCTTCCCTTTCCCCGACATCCTTGTTATTTGTTGATTTATTGATGACACATATTCTGTCACATGTGAGGTGATATCTCATTGTGGTTTTAGTTTGCATTTCCCTGACGATTAGTGAGATTGAGCATCTTCTCATATGCCTATTGGCCATTTATATTTCCTCTTTGGAGAAATGTCTATTCAGGTCCACTGCTCAGTTTCTTTTTTCAACTGGATTGTTTGCTTTTTGGTGTTGCGTTGTAGGAGTTTTTAAATAAATTTTGGATATTAACTTCTTATCACAGGTATCATTGGTGAATAACTTCTTCCATTTAGTAGACTGGCTTTTGTTTTGTTAATAGTTTCTTTCTGTGCAAAAACTTGTTGGTTTGATGTGGTCCCATTTGTTTATGTTTTTTTTTGTTGCCTTTGCCTGAGAAGATGTATCTAAAAAGATATTGCTAAAAATGATGTCACAGTGTTTAATGCCTATGTTTTCTTCTAGACTTTTTATGGTTTCAGGTCTTACATTTAAGTCTTTAATTCATTTGAGTTTATTTTTGTGTACGGTATAAGAAAGTGGTCCAATTTCAAGTTTTCACATGTACCTGTCCAGTTTTCCCAGCACCATCTATTGAAGAGACCGTCTTTACCTGATTCTATATTTTTGCCTTCTTTGTCATAGATTAATTGACCATATAAATAAAGATTTATTTCTTGGCACTCTATTCCATTCCATTGATCTATGTGTCTATTTTTATGCTAGTACCATCCTGTTTTGACCATTGTTGCTTTGTAGTATAGTTTGATATCCTATGCTGGGTGTATAGATATTTATGATTGTTACCTCCCCTTCTTAGATTGACCCCGTTATAATTGTGTAATGTCCTTCTTTGTCTTTTTTAATGTTTTTTGTTTTAAAGTCTGTTTTACCTACTTAAATGAGTATTGCTGCCCCAGCTTTCTTTTCATTTCCATTTTTCTGGAATATCTTCTTCCATCCCTTTACTTTCAACTTTAAGTGAATCTCTTGAAGGCAGCATGCTAGTCTTTTAAACTGGTTCAGCTACCCCATGTCTTCTTATTAGATCATTTAATCCATTTACATTTAAAGTAATTATTGATAAATATGTACTTACTGTCATTAAGTTATTTTTTTCCTGATAGTTCTCCTGTTCCTGTCTTCTTATCTCAGTCTTTTCCCTTGTGGTTTGTTGGTTTTCTTTGGTGTTTTGTTTGGGTTCTTTTATCTTTATTCTTTGTACTTTTTGTTTTGTGGTTACCATGAAGTTTATATATATATCTGTATTTATAGCAGTCTATTTTAAGCTGATAGGCATTTTATTTTGAATATATTCTAGAAGGACTACATTCCCTGCCCACACCATGCTTTATGTTATTGCTGTCTCGCTTTTAGATCCTTTTGTGTATCTCTAGCTGCTTATTGTAGTTTGAGTTTAGTTTGATACTTTTTTTGTTTGACCTTCATAGTAGCCTTTTAAATGTCTGAAACACTGGGTTTATCAAATATTTGGCTTCGCCTGTGAGATTTTTGCTCTTTTCTTATATTTTTTATTTCTGGTTGTGGCCTTTCCTTTTCTACTTAAAGAAGACTCTTTAACCTCGCTTGTAAAGCTGCTTTAATGGTGCTGAACTCCTTTAATTTTTGCCTGTTCTGGAAATTTTCATCTCTCTTTCAAGTCTAAATGATAACCTTGGTAATTATCCTAGGTTCCTCTCTGTCAGCACTTTAACCCATTTCTCATTTGCCCCGAGAATACTCGCTGGCAGTGTTTGCAGCTGTAGTGTTTACCCTGAGATAACTCGTGAATTACACTTCTAACCTTACCCCCAAAGCTTGCCACAAAATATCTCGCTTTTATTATTATTTTCACATTACTCTAGCATATCGATAACTCTTTGGAAAAAATAGTGCAAACAAATGATGGCAGGAAGATCCGGAAAGAAACACGATATTTTTGTGCAGAATGTGATGTTCCGCTTTATGTTATTCTGTGCTTTGAAATATACCACTCAAAAAAATTATTAAATCTTATGCATTCCTGTTACATTAGGATTAGAGACAAGTTCTGTTTAGAAATAACTCCAAGAACAGTTGTTCTATTTTATTTTCACGTTCAAAACCAGTCAGATTCTCTTCAGCCTCAAAGAATGTGTTTATATAAAATCCAATTAACACTGGCAGCCAGCTGCACTTTTTTTTCTAAACGGGAAATGGGTTAAAGATGTCCCGCCACTTCCTTCTGGCGTGCGAAGTTTCTGATGAGAAGTCAGCCAATAGCTTTATGCAGTTTCCATGTATGTTTCTCTTGTTTTCCTCTTGCTTCCTTCAAGATGATCTCTTTATCTTTAACTTTTGCTGTTTTGATTACAGTGTCTTGGTGTGGGTCTCTGGGTTCATCTTGATTGGAACTCTCTGTGCTTCCTGGGCCTGGATGTCTATTTCCATCCCCAGATCAGCCATTATTTCTTTAAATAATGTTTCTGTTCCTTTCTCTCTCTTTTCCTTCTGGGATCCTTATAATGAGAATGTTTGAGCACTCGATGTTATCCCAGAGGTCCCTTCAATTAGCCTCATTTTAAAAAATCATTTTTGCTATTCTGATTGGTCGATAGCTACTATTCTGTCTTCCAGGTTGCTGATTCATTCTTCTGTATTAACTAATCTGCTGTCGATTCCTTCTAACGTATTTTTTTCATTTCAGTTATTGTATTCTTCAGGTCCACTTGGCTCCTTATTGTATTTTCTAACATTTTGTTAAAGTTCTCCCTAAGTTCCTCTATTCCACTATCAGCTGTGGTGAGTGTCCTTACGATTGTTTCTTTGAATTCTTTATCAAACAAATTACTTATCTGTGTTTTCTTAGGCTCTTTTTTTTTTTTTCTGGGGATTTTTTGTTGTTGTTCCTTTATTTGAGATGTATATTCTCCTGCTTTTTCATTCTGTTTGACTATCTATGTTTGTTTATATGAATTAGACTAAGTAGCCCTCTCTTCCAGTCTTGAAAAAGAAGCACCCTCTTTGCTGGTTGTGTGTGCTGGATGGTTTTGGCAGACTGAAGGAGCCAAACAGGTGTGTAAGGCATCCGGGACACTGGCCTGCCTAGCCGGAGTGGCCCCAGGTGGGGAGGCCAGGTGCACGTATGATACCCTGTTGATCCTGCTTGCTCACTTTGTTGGGGGCCTAGAGGGTCTCAGGCTATGTGTTGCAAAGGTGCTGCATTGACCTTGCAGACAGGTAAGAGCACTTGGATAGAGCTCCTACCCCTCCTTAGGAGGTGGAGGAGGATGCAAACAGTGGTGATCACTGTCCCCTTTCACTGGAGAATTCTCAGTCCCCAGGGAGCTCTCGTGGCTCCCAGCCTTTTCTATACAGTCTCTCTCTTCGTCGTACAGAAATTGGTTTTATGAAGTGACTTCTGTGTAGGTTTTATGTACCAGGAAGTTTTGTGAAGCAGGTTGGAGTAGGGCAGGTGCTTACAGCACCTGAGGCACTGGCTTGCCTGGTTGGAGCAGCTCCTGGCCAAGAGGCCAGGTGTGTGTGGTGATGCCCTGTTGTTCCTATTTGCTCCCTTTGCTCGGAGGAAAAAGCTTTGCTCTGGGCCATGTAACTTGGAATGCACTGTGGAGGTTCTTGTGGGTAGGCCAAAGCCCTGGAGTAGAGCTTTACCTGCTCTATCGAAGTGGTGGGGGGTGTAAACACTGGTGGTCACTGGCTTCTCCAGTCCAAATCCAGAGAGTTCTCGCAGCTCCCAGAGGGCTCCTGCAGTTCCCAGCCTTCTCTACGCAGTCTCTTTCTCTTACTTGCTGTTCAGAAGCTGTATATTCAGCCCTCATTTGTCTCAGTGGAGTAATAGCTCTTTCTATGCGTGTGTATTTGAGTTTGCTTACGGGAGAGGATGAGTTCCATGTCTTCCTGTATTGCCACCATCTTGTACTCACTTTTCTGGGTCTATAAATCATTTTAGTGTACTCATGCTTCCTTAAGCCTCTCATGCCGGGGTTTAGCCGGTGTGGTGCACACCACCCCCTGGAGCTCAGATGGTCCTTCTAGATTTCCACAGCATCCTCCACTTCATCTGGAATCTTGATGCTCATTAAGTGTCATGATGTGAAGAGTATTTTCTCACAAGACTTTGTCCCTGTGGGGCCCTGACTGTCCAACTATACTTTGTTACAAGATCTAATTGGTATTCCTAATCTTATAAAGATTTGCAGATGTCTCCTGTGTGCTGGGCTAACGACTACCTCCCTCTCTGTATTCACCCAAAAATACCTTACTAACATTGGAATAAAAAGATCTTTTGGAGTCAGAAGTGTTGAAGTCATTATCTGGACTGGTTAGTAGTTTGGGCTACAGGGTTCGAGGGTAGTTCAAGGATGGCATGTGTATGAGGATCACACAGGAGATGGGTCTGTGACAACAGGCTCGTGCTGTAGCCAGCACATGGATTGGCATATAGTATATACGCCTCCCTGACCCTCCTAACAATGTCACCCAAGATCACACCGCCTTCTTTTTCTATACCATATGGAAATTGCTGCCAACCAGAATCCTAAAGTCTTATTTCACAAGTGCAAGTTCTTACAATAAGTACTTGTTCATTTACACTTGTGAACCAAAGTAAATAACCTTATATTTATCATTGTTATATAGTTCTAGGTAGTTTCAGATCATTGTTCCAACCTTGTTGAGATCTGTTTGAATCTTGATGATGTTAACGCACTAATGTATTATTCTTTTTGGCTTTATATCCAGAAATTTGTTGAACACACACTTCTCCAAGACACT